GGAGCTACGTCACGGGTTGCGCATTTTGAAAAGTTCAGCCCAAATTTTTCAAGTTCTTCGTCTGTAATCTGTGTCAATCTACTTTGTGTTACCTTATCTTGACCGTTCTCTTGATATGTCTGAAAAACCGGTTCCTTTTCGGTACTGAAAGAAAGAGTGTAGCTTTTGACCCATTGCTTATAGTCTTGCCTTCCTTGGGTGACAAACTTTGTGATCTTAACATCTCGTCCAAAATCCACTTGAAGCCATTGGTTAAGATCATTCGTCTTCGCTGACCAGGCGCCCATTTTCCTTCCATCAGCAACATGGTTTAGCCTGGCATTTTCTGGACCATGATTTTCACTGTATTGTGAATATGCTGTTATCTGTTGGTTTTTTACAGCACCACTTTCCATGCCCAATGCCTCTTCTCCGGTGCACTCTAGTTTTAAATACAAATTTCGAGTTAAAAGTTAACAAGAAGCCTAAACAGTAGGGTTTACGTTATCGCGATACGTTTTAATTATAACCCGGCCGCTATGATGCTTAGGGGAGAACAACAACAACAACAACAACAACAACAACAACAACAACAACAACAATAACAATAACAACAACAACAGTAGGGGACTTAGGATTTGAGTAAGAGTACGACTTGTCAATTATACTTTGCAGGCTTCACATCATCAAATCACGTACCCATCTCATACCATGAGCTACTCTCTCTACCTAAAGCCAACATGAAGAGCGAGGGCTCTGGAAACGTCACTGGTTTGAAATTCTAAAATCTTACTCGTACTCAATCTCGTACTCGTGGTCCAATCTAAAGTTCCCTAACAACAACAACAACAACAACAACAACAACAACAACAACAACAACAACGACTACAACGACAACAACAACATCGAGGCTGATTGATGAATAAANGGAGCTACGTCACGGGTTGCGCATTTTGAAAAGTTCAGCCCAAATTTTTCAAGTTCTTCGTCTGTAATCTGTGTCAATCTACTTTGTGTTACCTTATCTTGACCGTTCTCTTGATATGTCTGAAAAACCGGTTCCTTTTCGGTACTGAAAGAAAGAGTGTAGCTTTTGACCCATTGCTTATAGTCTTGCCTTCCTTGGGTGACAAACTTTGTGATCTTAACATCTCGTCCAAAATCCACTTGAAGCCATTGGTTAAGATCATTCGTCTTCGCTGACCAGGCGCCCATTTTCCTTCCATCAGCAACATGGTTTAGCCTGGCATTTTCTGGACCATGATTTTCACTGTATTGTGAATATGCTGTTATCTGTTGGTTTTTTACAGCACCACTTTCCATGCCCAATGCCTCTTCTCCGGTGCACTCTAGTTTTAAATACAAATTTCGAGTTAAAAGTTAACAAGAAGCCTAAACAGTAGGGTTTACGTTATCGCGATACGTTTTAATTATAACACGGCCGCTATGATGCTTAGGGGAGAACAACAACAACAACAACAATAACAATAACAACAACAACAACAGTAGGGGACTTAGGATTTGAGTACGAGTACGACTTTTCAATTATACTTTGCAGGCTTGACATCATCAAATCACGTACCCATCTCATACCATGAGCTACTCTCTTTACCTAAAGCCAACATGAAGAGCGACGGCTCTGGAAACGTCACTGGTTTGAAATTCTAAAATCTTACTCGTAGTCAATCTCGTACTCGTGGTCCAATCTAAAGTTCTCTAACAACAACAACAACAACAACAACAACAACAACAACAACAACGACTACAACGACAACAACAACATCGAGGCTGATTGATGAATAAATAATTTTTTCACTAAGTGAGAATTTTGACCTCAAGCTCGAAATTACCCTATTATACCATGCAGGAGTGTGTAACGATCACTTCATATGGGGGTGGTTCTAAATCTTAGGTTCTAAATCTTAGTTGTGGTCCCGAATTGAACATCTCGAGGTGTTACAAATAAAAAACTGGCCCGTTTCCAAACAGGTTAAATTTTTAACAAATTTTCGGTTTTATTTGCAATATTTATTTCTAGAATGATATTGTCCCGAAATGGGCAGCAGTGCTATCACGTAAATACCATGGCACTTGAATGAGGTGATTTATTCTTCTTTTATGTAATCGTTACAGTCTCTGAGCGCTTTCCATTCGACCAAAAATTTTGGTTTGGATTTCTGGAAATTTCTCGTGGCAAATGGAAACAGCATTTTTCAGAATTGTGGGAAAAGATTAAAAAAAACCTCACGAGGTAAACCCAATTTTTCACTATTTCTCAAATCAACCAGAATAATGCATTTTGGTTCGGCTCGGTATTGGACTGGAACTAGCTCGAAACTGAAGACAACGCGGGGAGTTATTAATGGCACTAATAGACCCTTTGCACGATCCGGTCATATGGTACGGAATTAATTATGCTGGGACGCAAGTTACGCAGTGGGACTTCCAAAACAAAGGAACTCGTACCAGTCCAGCCCGACTTTCCTTTGTTTTGAAAGTCCCACTGCGTAACTTACGTCCCAGCGTAATTAATTCCGTACCATGTGACCGGATCCTGCAAAGGGCCTATTAATCTCTTTGTAATGATTTTCCTCCGAATGAGTCTCCATTGCAAGCTAGTCCAATACCAAGAATACGAAAATGTCCCATTTCCTTTACAATTGATTTTTCTCCAGGAGTTTCTTTTGGTATTCATTCGAATGGTTCGCACTTCTGAAATCAACAATTTTTGAAATTTCTAGAACCTTTCCGTGGACATTCCTTTATGATGGAAAGCGCCCTCCTACAGCAAACTGTGGAGATTTACCTGACCCATATCGAACAACCGAAGGCGTTTCGAACCACTTCATGGCACGGATAGGGATATTCTTGTTGTACGAAGGGTCTACATCTGTCCAAGTCTCACAATTGTCTAGAAGAAAAACAAAGATTTATGTTATGGATTGGGGCATGATATATTGAAGTGATTTTGAAGGGAAATGTTCCGCCGTAGCGAGTTTGCGAAGCCAATGTTTCAGGGCAGACCCTTCGCTCTGACGGAGGGATAACACTCAAAACATTAACTTCACAAACTGGCCACGGCGGATAACGTCGAGATGATAAATAGGTTGTTGCTACATTTGCTCGCCGACACCGAGTCCAAGTCTCTTCCCAAACTAATACCCTTGTTTAAGTACTGAAGTGATTTTCTTTCTTTCTCTTAGCAGCAAATCCTCAGTTTTTAACGCTAGCTTACCGTGGATGTGACGCATTTAAAATCAAGCCTTTTTGTAATCTGAAACATGATCGGTGAGATGAACAGTCTCATCAACAACAGGCTAGGCACTGGTAAGCTTATGTCAATTCGCAATTTTGCTTGTCAGATCAGTGGGACCGAAATATTAGTCCTTAAACCTCCGGGAAATTTTTTGTTTTATGTTATGTCATATAATCAGCCTGAAATAACGTCTTCACGGCTAAACCACAAAATTCCGGTGGGAGGAGACACTTCCATATGAAATGGTCGGGGATGCTCGTCAGAAAATATAAATTAAATCTTTTAAGCAGGGCAGAACATTTTTGACGAAATTCTTGGTATTTATAAATGCATTTACTCTGAAATCGAACATATTCGGTGGTGATAAGAGTGAGCACTTGCTGTTTGGCCCATGCATTCTTTGAAGAATTTAATGATGCACAGTAGCCTTTTGTTTCCCTCTTGATGTTTGACAAAGTAATAGACAAAGGATTAAATTGACTTTCAGTGCACAATACTACACAGATAATAGTGTCCATTGCCGGTAGATTTTGTTTTTTAAGGTGGCCCAAATCTATCAATTTTTTACGTTAGTCTTACTTTTGAGAGGCGCCGTTTTTGGCATGAAAGATCACTCAAGCCATTTCAACCAGCATTGTGATGTGATCTGTGCCATACAGATCCTGACTTTTATACACATCCCGACATTTCTTTCAACGTATCGCTGAACATAGATATTCTGTTTAACACCTGAAAGATAACTACAAGCCGCATGCAACTAATTTGAAAGGCCAGTTTGCAGTTGTAGCGAAATGTTGCAGATAGCTGGACTGTTTGAAGTTTTTGACCCGAGAGATGCTGTTCACCAGGAACAGGAGACGAACGCTCAAAATGTAGGGACTGCATTGTCAGATTCTGTTCACGCCAAACTCCTCACATAACAATCAAGAAAACTTAAACACCTTCGAATAGTTTCATGCTGTTCTTTCCTGTAGTAAATAAATAATGATTTCTATCATGCACTGACATGGAGTCCTCGAAACGTTGTTCAGTTGTACTATCGTTGATTTTTATTCTCGGGGCGTTAGTAACGTTTGATAAATCAGCATAGTTTTGACAAGAAGTGACCATAATTTTGAAAAACCACGACAGATGTTCCCTTACCCCATCAAACAAGTGTCAGACCTCTCATATTTTGCTTTAGGAAGTCCAATGTCAATCGTGGCTAGATTGTAGAATGCCAAGCAATTCATTTACATCTCACTGAATTTGAATGGTTGCTTTTGTTTCTATGTGCTTCTTTCTTAGAAGCGTTGTAAAATTGCTTTTCAATCATGACAATACAGCTCGCAAAACAAAATGCTGGTTAAATTTAGTCAGGAAATGGTGTACTGATGTGTTTGACTAATGGAAATCATAGTGCTTGATGACATATTCAAGATCTACACTGCGTAACTTGCGTCCCAGCATAATTAATTCCGTACCATGTGACCGGATCCTGCAAAGGGTCTATTAATCTCTTTGTAATGATTTTCCTCCGAATGAGCCTCCATTGCAAGCTAGTCCAATACCGAGAATACGAAAATGTCCCATTTCTTTTACAATTGATTTTTCTCCAGGAGTTTCTTTTGATATTCATTCGAATGGTTCGCACTTCTGAAATCAACAATTTTTGAAATTTCTGGAACCTTTCTTTGGACATTCCTTTATGATGGAAAGCGCCCTCCTACAGCACCTTTGGAGAATTACCTGCCCCATATCGAACAACCGAAGGCGTTTCGAACCACTTCATGGCACGGATAGGGATATTCTTGTTGTACGAAGGGTCTGTATCTGTCCAAGTCTCACAATTGTCTAGAAGAAAAACAAAGATCTGTGTTATGGATTGGGGCATGATATATTGAAGTGATTTTGGAGGGAAATTTTCCGCCGTAGCGAGTTTGCGAAGCCAATGTTTCAGGGCAGACCCTTCTCTCTGACGGAGGGATAACACTCAAAACATCAGCTTCACTAACTAGCCACGGCGGATAACGTCAAGATGATAAATAGGTTGTTGCTACATTTGCTCGCCGACACCGAGTCCAAAACTCTAACTAGCTTGAACTAGCTCTCTAACAAGGGCATCTAATTAGCTTGCTATATTTTTGCCCTTTTCCATTTCTCCTCTTACTTGTCTACTTTATATTTATCTTTGTAATTTTAGAATGGAATA